CTGGCATGNTTTTAAAATAAAGGTTAATGATAATCATATTATATGTATAGCTTATTCAATGTATGGCTTCATAGTTTATGTGATTGTTAATAACACCTGCACAGAGCATTTCCATACTGACAGTATGTCTTTATTCAAGTGTTTTGGTAGGTATTTCAAGCTTTTCTGCTCCAGCATTGGAATGCGGGGCATGAACGTTTTTTATTTATTTTGAAAATCAACAGTTTGCATTATGCAATTAAAAATCCTAACCAATAAAGTAGGGAATAGCTATCCAACTGTTGTTTTAGTTGTATGTTACTTCATATTATAGTTATATCAATGTAAATCATTGTTTTCCCTTGTGTTTCTCATTCTTTCCCTGCCATGTCGTAAAATGTGGTGAACCCATCGCTGTATTTGCTCCAAAGCAAATATTGGCCTTTCTAGTTCCTTTTATTTCTCCCGGCATCAAACATCCTCTTGCTCTTAGTGCCAAATTACAACAGTGGGACAAACAACTAGTTTATTTCCAAAACACTTATAGATGTCTGCGCATGCTTAACAGTCATCAATGTTCACGTGACGGCCACGTGATGTTCTCGTGGTCGGTGCGGCTGTCCTGAAAAAAAATACAAAGAACGACTTAAAAGAAATTTGCCTTATCCTTAATTAGAAGCATCCTTAAGTTACGTCTTCAGCTTTGCAGCCATGCTGCATTTCCATTTCTTCTGTGTCCAGAAATAGGATAAAAAATTACCATCACTAGAGTAGCTTAACCTGTTCCACAGACACTTGTTTGAGTGTGGGACATCATATCTAATATAGGATTTTACAAACCTTTAGATTAATTGATGAATAGGTTGCCTATGGGAAAACATACAATGTGTAAGAATGCAACGACAAAGCACGACTTAAAGAATGAATGTCCTTTGTACTTACATTTTCTTTATTCCATTTCCTCCATCATGTCCGCCATGGCGTCGTCCACGTCCCGTTTCTCCAGCTCCCTGGCCATCTCGCGGCGTTCAGCCTCGGCCAGTCGGCGGGCCAACAACGACTTCAGGGCCGCCACTTCCTCACGGGTAGACTTGGAAGCACGCTCTGAGGTGAAGAAAGTAAAACACGCTATTCAAAGAAGACCCTAGAAATACAACTAAACAACCAGCCAGTGGGACCGGTCGTGTGGCGTAACGAACGTTCGGGTCGTGTAGCGTAATGACCGTGCGTTCGGCTCAGAACCAAGAGGTCCCGAGTTCGAGTCCTGCCATGCCACCGACCTTGGGCCCTTGGAAAAGGCACTTTACACGAATTTCCTCACTTTACTCGGGTGAAAGTGAGTATGTTTGTTATCAATTCATGCATATATTTGCGTTGGTGGCGGCATGAATATAAGTTGAAAAAAAATTGTGCCGTCGCGATGTCTTGTCATAAATGTTGGAATAGAAAAAAAGCCAATTACACAACATTATCTTGATCACGTCTTGTCCACCTAATACAAAGCAGTTACACAGACATTTTGAAAGATGTTTCTTTTCGCGTAGGCGATCGTACGATTCTGATGCTCTAGTCTGTGAAAGAACCAACCACTGACAAGGATCTAAAGATATAGCGTGGCAGCGTTTTCTACGAGTACGAGCGGCTCGATTGCAACACATTCAAAAATTATAACCTATACCATTATCATGGGATAGCTTGTAGAATATAGACACATGAGGAAAAACAATATATTTCATTCATATCTTTGGTATGGAGTGAAATATAATGATGGTTTGTCGATGAAGGTTAGACATCCAGGTAACGCCAAAAAGCAGTTACTCAAGCAACTGGATATGATTTTGAAAACGTCAGACGTTTCAGCTAGTATCTATTTGCATTATCTTGTATTGACTTGTCTGACTTTTGTTCCTTTTTCGACTTCCAAAAAATTGTCTTCACTTTATTTGCATATCAATCAATAGTTTGTGCTTATAAACCTTCATTTCCCCTCTGGTCTCTCAGTCACTGACGAAAGCTAGTGGATACTA